ATAAGAGGATCCCTGTATAAACTACCCCGAGGTTAAAAAAAGCTTTGTATATGTCTGTTCGAAGGGATGTCAGCAACACAGCTGGAACAAAAACACAAGCCTTGAAGTACGTAATATTAAAAAGCTGGCGCTGTCAATCTCGAGCATTGTCTCTCCGCAAGGCAGGTCTTTGCAAAGAGAAAGATTAAAATCTAATAGCTAATCCACAGTGACTTTAAATGTGGTGGGTTTGAGCCTTTGTGCACAGGAAATTTATTACTACAATCTAGCAGTTGCAAATAGACTATTCAGTATCGATCCCAAGGGGTAAGGGCAGGTGTCTAATCATGTTCAGGTGGGTTAGGGACCACTTTGGGGATCGAGATGTTACCCCAAAATGCCCAAAGGAGCAACAGAAATTCTTCTGATTCCACACACCCAAGTATTTATCCCTCAGTTGAAGTAAGTTAATTCGATGTATTGTCAAAGGCTTTCATGGCCGGAATCACTGGGTTGTTGTAGGTTTTTTCAGGCTGTATGGCTATGTTCTAGAAGCATTCTCTCCTGACATTTCGCCTGCATCTATGGCAAGCATCCTTAGAGGTTGTTACCTAGACATGTAACTACCTTGTTCTAGAACAGTGTTTCTCAACCTGGGGGTCGGGACCCCTGGGGGGGTTGCAAGGGAGTGCCAGAGGGGTCACCAAAAACCAGTAGAAAACACAGTGTTTTATGTTGGTCATGGGGGTCCTGTGTGCCAAGTTTGGTCCAATTCCATCGTTGGTGGAGTTCAGAATGCTCTTTGATTGGAGGTGACCTATAAATCCCAGCAACTACAACTCCCAAATGTCAAGGCCTATTTTACCTAACCTTCACCAGTGTTTGCATTTGGGCATATTGCATATTCATGCCAAGTTTGGTCCAGATCAGTCATTGTCTGAATCCACAGTGCTCTCTGGATGTAGGTGAACTATAACTCCCAAACTCAAGGTCAGTGCCCACCGAACTCTTCCAGTAATTTCTCTTGGTCATGGGAGTTCTGTGTGCCAAGTTTGGTCCAATTCCATCGTTGGTGGAGTTCAGAATGCTCTTTGATTGGAGGTAAACTATAAATCCCAGCAACTACAACTCCCAAATGACAAAATCAATCCTCCCCCAACCCCACCAGTATTCAAATTTGGGCGTATGGGGTATTTGTGCCAAATTTGATCCAGTGAATAAAAATACATCCTGCATATCAGATACTGACATCATGATTCATAACAGTAGCAAAATTACAGTTATGAAGAAGCAATGAAAATGTTATGTTTGGGGGTCACCACAACATGAGGAACTATATTAAGGGGTCGCAGCATTAGGAAGGTTGAGAAACACTGTTCTAGAAGGAGCTCTCATGGCTGCAGTATTAGTTTCTTAAAGCTTCAACAAAAAAGGGGAGGGGAGAGAATGAAGCTGAAGAGTCCTTTGTCTTTCAGGTGTGGGAGGAAACAAGCATGAATTGAATCCATCTTTCAAATCTGTTTCCTGAGTGAGAGAGAACCACAATCTTTATCTCTGCCGTTGATTCATAGACAGGGTTGTGTGCAAAGTGTTCATTTAATTTCTTTACCTGAGGGCAAATTTAAATAGATTTGCTCAAGTCAACTTCTGTTCTTGCATAATTTATTCTCACTTGCTGCTGCTGAGGGTGAGGTTTCAGGAGCACAATGAATGCCTATTGCTATCTTGAGGGACAGAAGCTTGCTTTTAAAAGAAGAAAAGGATAGAAATCTGTGATCTTCAGTTGCTGAGGTTCTGTGCTGATCGCTTCATGGAGAATTCAGATTATGGGCTCTTACTTACTTAGGCAATCCTTTGTTGTCCGAGTAAGATTGTCTTCCAAGTGTGGTGTCCTGGTGATGGGTACGTAAGTGGCCGCGGAGCCCTATTCTTGATCCGCATGTTCTCCTGTAGTGAGGACATTGGCTTCCAGGTGGAAGGCAGTCCTGGTCAGGGTTGGCTTGATGTGCCTTTCTCTTGGCATGTTTCTCCCTTTCGCCCTCCATTTGTGCCTCTTCAAATTCTGCAGCACTGCTGGTCTCAGCTGACCTCTGCCTATTGTGACTCAGCTGGAATCAGAGAGTGTTTCTGATGAGGATGACGGGACTCAGGTTCACAGTTTGGTTCAAAATGTCCCTGTTATAGACAGTGAAGAAATGCAGTTTCCCACAGTAAGGCATGAGAGTGTTGATACTGAAAATAGCCAGGTGCAGTCTGACTCAGAGAAGGAGGATAGCTCTCAGCCTGATAATGAGCAAGCAGGGAAACAGGCTAACAAACAGACTGACCTTGACGATATGGGGACTTTAGATTGGGCTGACTGGTTGGAATTCCGAATTCGAAGGAGTGAAAGAATAGCTAACATGAGGGAGGCCAGGGGCGAGAGAAACGCCTTCATGTTTTGCAAAGGGTATTAAACAGTGTGTTTGAGACAAGGTCTTTGTCAAAGCAACTTCGTGTTTACCTAAAGAGCTTGCCTAAACTAGGCTGGATTATCTTGCAGTTTTGTTGTTCATGGTTCCAGGACTTTGTCATGTTCTCTTGGATTTTGCTTTGCTGATGCCTTTTTGGATTAAGCTTCAAGTGTTATGTTGTATTGATCCTTGGGAACATTAACCTTTGCTTTTAAGAACTTTTTACCTTTTATTTTTAATAAACCATAAAGACTACTGGCTGTGTGCAGTTTGGTGTTCTTCAGCAAGGTGAATCTACTCTGAGGTGCAACACTGCCTGTCTTCCCAAGAGATTTTTCGGAGGCAACGCTGATGGAATCGTTACAGGAGTTGAATGTCATGTCTGTAGACAGTCCACGTTTTGCAGGAGTTTAACAGGGTTGGGAAGACCTGGGCTCTGTCAGAGTCTGAATGCTTGTGTCTGTTGTTATCTTTTAAAAATAATACAGGAATCTTCATCTGATATTTTAATAAATACCTCACCTGGAATAATCCTGTGACCATTTCTGGTCACCACAAGTCAAGAAGGATATTGACAAACCGAAAGGTGTCCCAAAAGGACAACCAAAATGATCAGAGGTCTGGATCAGTGGTTCTTAACCTGTGGGTTCCCAGGTGTTTTGGCCTACAACTCCCAGAAATCCCAGCCAGTTTACCAGCTGTTAAGATTTCTGGAAGTTGAAGGCCAAAAACATCTGGTGACCCACAGGCTGAGAACCACTGGTCTAGACGGAACAGCTTAGGGAGCTGGGTGTGTTTAGCTTAGAGAAGGATGAGAGGGGACATGATAGCCATGTTTAAATATTTGAAAGGATGTCACATTGAGGTGGGGAAAACTTGTTTCTGCCTGTTCCAGAGGTTAGGACATGAAGCAATGTATTCAAATGACAGGAAAAGAGATTCCACCTAAATATTAGGAAAAACTTTCTGACAGAAGACCTGCCTTGGATTAAGAGCTGTTTGACTCCTTGTGGATTCAGTGGAGTCTCCTTCTCTAGAGGTTTTTAGCAGAGGCGAGATGGTCGTCTGTCAGAAGTGCTTTTATTGTGTCTTCCTGCATGACAGAAAGGGATTGGATTCAGTGGCCATTGTAGCCTGTTTCAACTCTTACGATTCTTTAATTCTATATGTGTTTGTATGCATATGTATTTGTTCCCAAGGGCTCCAATCAGATTGAATTACAACAACAACACACCAGACTATTTCCCAATCTTAAGAGGAGAGGAAGCCAAATTGATTTTGAGGGCAGGTTCATGGATGTTCATCACCTGATTTGTCTTCATTTGATTGCTGTGCTCTCCGTGAGCAACTGTTGAATACATGAACTTGATTCCATTGCAAAATGCTTATGTAGCATTAGGAACTCTTAGCTGTGACGGCCCTTTCATGCACACAATTCATCACTTGGTTATTCATAATGGAACTTGAATATTCATATATGAAACAGATCTAGAAGAAGTAAAAGGGAGTTGGGGGAAAGTATTGTGACCCCCCCCCCCAACTTAGCAAAAATAATTCAAAGTTGGCTTAATTTATTTTTCCTGGTTGCTTATGTGAGACAACTGTAAAATATAGACAAACTATAATATATATATCAGGGGTCCTCAAACTTTTTAAACAGAGGGCTGGATTATAATTTGAAAAAACATGAATCAATTTCTATGCACATTGCAAATATCTTATTTGTAGTGCAAAAATCCCACTTTAAAGCAATACAATAATTAAAAGAAACAATTTTAAGCTTAGTATTTCAATGGGAAGTGTGGACCTGCTTTTGGCTTATAAGACAGGATGGTTGTTGTGTGCTTTCACGTCATTTCAGACTTACGTTGACCCTTAGTGAGGGCCAAGTAAATGACCATGGAGGGTCGTATTTGGCCCCTGGCCTTAGTTTGAGGATCTCTGATATATACGGTCTTCTATCAGTAGTTCCACTACTGCTATTATTTCTGGAATCATCTATTAACAATATTTTGTTATTGTTTCTTGCTAAGTATCACTGAGAAACTGGATGGAAATATAACTGAATACTCTTTCCTGTTTCTTTGGACAAATAATATCTACAGGTTGGATACATTTGTTATTGATCATGTTCCAGACAAGGCCTGTATGATATTGTTTGTTGTGTCGAAACTAGAATTGAATTTTTTTAAAAGTATACCTGCAAGCTACAGGTATAATTGCTTGCAAAGGAGCTAGTATTTAACTATCAACCTGTTCTGTTCTAGTATTTAGGAAGTTTCGAAGTATTTGAACCAAATGTATGTAGAACAGGCATGGTCAAACTTCCGCCCTCCAGGTGTTTTGGACTTCAAATCCCACAATTCCTAACAGCCTCAGGATTAAGCGGCTGAGGAGGAAAGGAAAGGGCCTGAGACTGTTAGTAATCGTGGGAGCTGAAGTCCAAAACACCTGAAGGTCCAAAGTTTGCCCATGCCTGATGTAGGACCATTTAAGAGATGGTAACTAAGTCAATTTTCACTGTGTTTTCCCTCCATTTTAATAATATGTCCTTCATGTTTCTTGTAGGACATTCAGTCAGAAGAAAGCTGCAATTGAGAGAGAGTATGCACAGGTAAGTCACCTTTAATTTCTAAGGACAGACAACATGTATACTACAGTGTAATCTCTTTTTTTTTTTGTAGCTGATCTTCCTCTACTGTATTCTAGAACTACATACATGGTGAAGTTGTCATTACCAGCAAAATAGTACCTACCCCCCAAAATAGGTGTTGTGCTGCACAACATAGCAGAAGAGCAGAGTATTTTCTGACTTAGGTGTATAATTACGGTCAGGCTTTTGTGTCTTCTCTTCATATGTCACAAAGGTCTGCTCTGCTAATCATTTCAGTCAATTTCAAAATGGACTGCAAAGGTGTGTATGTTTGTGTGTGTGTGTGTGTGTGTGTATACAATGTTTGTTTGTTTGTGGGATTAACATAATTCAAAAACCACTGGACAAATTGACACCAAATTTGGACACTACACCCCTAACAGACCAGCGAGTGACCATCACTCATAACCCACCCACCCCCACCCCCCGGCCAAAAAAAATAGGGAATAGGGAGGGAAGGAAGGAAGGGGAGAAAGAAAGATGAAAGGAAGGAAAAAAGAGAAGGAAGCATGGAAGCAAAGAGCAAAGAAAAGAGGGAAAGAGAAAAATAAAAGGGGTAAGGAAAGAAAGGGGTAGAAAAGGAAGGAAGGAGAGAAGGAAAGAAAAAAATGCAAAGGAAAGAAAGGGAACGAAGGAAGAAGGAAAAGAGGTAGAGAAGGAAGAATGAGAAAGAGGGAGGGAAGGAAAGAAGGAAATACGAAAGGAAAGATGGAAGCAAAGAGCGAAGGAAGGAAAGAGGTAGAGAAGGAAGAGAGAAAGGGAAGGAAAAGAAAAAGGGAGGAAGAAAAGAGGTAGAGAAGGGAGGAAGGACAGAGAGAAGTAAAGAAGAAAAGGGAAGGAAGGAAAGAGGGAGGGAAAGAAGGAGAGAAAGAGGGAGGGAAGGTTTTGCCACAGCAATGCGTGGCGGGTACAGCTTGTATGTGTGTATATATATTTAAAAATCCTTAAAACCAGATTTTAAAATTTTAAATAGAATTTATGGAGATGGGCGATAACCTCATCAGCTCTATTCTGCAGGTGCTTTCCTTTAAATACTCCCATCCATTCCCTCCTCTTTCTCCCTCCCCAATTTGTCTCCCTAAGAAAAGAAAATCAATGTAGAGGATATTAAAAGATTGGTGCAAGGAGTGCAGGTCTGGTTATACATCAAGATTTTGATGAACTGAAAATCATATTGGAAACAATTCAGAATTATTAGCTCTGTCTGCTGAATCCTGCATCTATGGATATGACCTGCTGGATTAAACAATAATGTGATTCCACTAAGAATAGTGACTAAATGGACTTCCTCATTGATGATTTAAATAATTTATGATACATATGTACAGTTTCATCCTTCAGAGAAATGATTTAAATCAATATGTTGTAATCTTGGTACAGATTCAACATTAGTGCGCTGGTATGTATTGAACATGAACCTTTTGTTTTCCTAAGTAGTTCTTGGTGGCTTTTGCAACTATTGACAGTGCAGTGGCTCCTTGCGCATTTCTATCTCTAAATGTTTTGTTCTGCCAGTTCAAAAGGTTGAGAACAACTGAACTGTACTGTTTGGATTGTATGGCTGTGAAAGGTACGGAAGCACAGTATTATAGTGGTCTTCGATGTAGCTGAGTAATGGTTCTTGCAGTGTGATGCTAGATGACTTCTGCTGTCACTTGTGCCATTTGAATTGCGGGATTTATATGAAACTGCACTAACAAGCCATACAGGATTCTTGCACATTCTTGCAGTTGTAACATAGACATAGAATGTTTGTGGAGCACCTAAAGAGGTTCTTGGTGGTGTTTTGGCTAAGGATGAGAACAATAATATGACATTTTATTCAACCAAGATGTGAGTAGTTTGGATGAAAAAATCTTTCGATCTGGGTAGATGGATTCAACGTGTGTTGATTGGGGATGCACTTTCTCTGAAGGACCAGGTCTATAGCTTTGTCCCATTGGGAAAACGTTGCACTATACTGCCTTCCAGCTGTCACTATGGTTCACACTTATTTATTTGTTTGTTTCTAATATTTGTACCCCACCCTTCTCAACCCCCTGGGGGGGGGGGGGACGACGACTCAAGGCAGCTTCCAATCGGCAACAATTTGATGCCTCAGTATATACATAAAAAACATAACAGTCAATAATTATAAATAGTTAAAAACATTTAAACACTTTAATATTTCAAACTTTTTGTTGTGTTTTCATGGGGGTGAGGATAGAGAGATGGGTTTAGGTTTTTGCAGCTTAAAAATGTTATGAAGTTATTATGTGGCCATGACAAATGTACAGTTTCTCTATAGCATCAAGGTTTCCTATTTACAAAACAGAGTAACCGTACTTCCTTGAGAGGATCTTTGAAAGAAATAATAGTGTGAAAGCTCTGATACCCTTTGCACATCTTATTTTCGATTGATGATTGAAAATACCCTTGGGGATGGACGGGAAGACTGGGACAAGACAAGGAGCGGATTGTGGCACGGACCATGAACTGCTGATATCAAAAAGAACTCTAAAGCTAAAGAAGACCCCTATAGCAACCATCATGCCAAAATACAACTTGAAGAACATCCTGTAGAATTTAAAGATAATATAAAAATAAAAGATTTGCACTATTATGTTTAATTGGTTGGGAGCAAGAAGAACTCTGGATCAATGCCAGTAATAGAGAGGAAATAAATAAATTGTGGACTGCTTAAAAAAACAAATGAATAGGCCCTTGAGCAATTAAAGCCTAAACTCTCCCTAGAAGCCAAGGTGACTAAACATGAGATTATCATACTTACACATATCATAAGAAGACGTGGCTCACTAGAAAAGATAACAGTGTTTAATAAGGTGGAAGGCAGCAGGCGAAAGGGAGGATCTTTGCCAGATGGGATGACTCAAATCAAGGAAGTCATGGCCCTGATTCTGTAAAACACGAACAGGGCTGTTGATGATAGAATGACTAGGGCCCCTTCTACACTGCCATACAAAATCCAGATTATCTGCTTTGAGATGCTTGTCTGTTCTTAAGATTATTCATTTATTTATTTATCATGTCAATATCAGCCAGACAATTGTATTACATTTTTAACATTTTTTTAACAAACAGACAAAACAGAGTTTGCAAGCTTGGTAATTGATTAAATGTCCTTTGACCAGTGCCTCTGGTGTTGCCACAAGAAGGTCCTCCATTGCGCATGTGGCAGGGCTCAGGGTGCATTGCAGCAGTGGTTTGCTCTTCTCTACACTCGCATGTTGTGGATTCCACTTTGTGGCCCCATTTCTTGAGGTTGGCTCTGCATCTCGTGGTGCCAGAGCGCAGTCTGTTCAGCGCCTTCCAAGTCGCCCAGTTTTCTGTGTGCCCAGGGGGGAGTCTCTCATTGGTATCAGCCATTGATTGAGGTTCTGGGTTTGAGCCTGCCACTTTTGGACTCTCGCTTGCTGAGGTGTTCCAGTGAGTGTCTCTGTAGATCTTAGAAAACTATTTCTTGATTTAAGTCGTTGACGTGCTGGCTGATACCCAAACAGGGGATGAGCTGGAGATGTCTCTGCCTTGGTCCTTTCACTATTGGCTGCTACTTCCCGGCGGATGTCAGGTGGTGCAATACCGGCTAAACAGTGTAATTTCTCCAGTGGTGTAGGGTGCAGACACCCCGTGATAATGCGGCATGTCTCATTAAGAGCCACATCCACTGTTTTAGTGTGGTGAGATGTGTTCCACACTGGGCATGCATACTCAGCAGCAGAGTAGCATAGCGCAAGGGCAGATGTCTTCACTGTGTCTGGTTGTGATCCCCAGGTTGTGCCAGTCAGCTTTCGTATGATATTGTTTCTAGCACCCACTTTTTGCTTGATGTTCAGCAGTGCTTCTTATAGGTAAGAGCACGCTCCAGAGTGACTCCCAGGTATTTAGGAGTGCTGCAATGCTCCAGTGGGATTCCTTCCCAGGGAATCCTCAGAGCTCGGGATGCTTGCCTGTTCTTAAGGTGAAAGGCACATGTCTGTGTTTTAGATGGATTAGGGATCAGCCGGTTTTCCCTGTAATAGGCAGTAAGGGCACCTAGAGCTTCGGAGAGCTTCTGTTCTGTTCTTAAGATGAAATGTACACAACTGCATTTTAGATGGATTAGGAATCAGTTGGTTTTTATTAGTAATATTATATTTTATCTCTGTGTTTTAACCATGTTGTACCCTGCCTTGACCTATGAGAAGAGGTGGGTAATAAATAAACATCATCATCATGCCCATCATCCCCCATTTACTCTGGATTCTTCTAGGCCTATGGAAGCACTGGAGATGGTGGTGAGATGGAATCTCCTTCTCCTATCTGCTGTCCAAAGTGTTTTAAAGACAATTCTGTTTAGGAAATGATTGTCAGAAAAATGGAACACTGGCTCACACTTGCTTTTTGAAGTACAGGATAGACAAGCAAGAATATCACACACTGACATGAGTGAAGACAGCCAAAACCCAAGAATCCGAATTCTCTTACACAAATGAGACATGATGGCCCATGCTGTCATCAGCTTTAACTAACTAAGAACAGCAGTCTTACACTTTGCTAGCAGACAGACATGCAAAGTGGGATTTAAATTAAACATGGAATCTTCTCCTGCAAAAGTGTTCTTGTCATCTAGGCTAGATTTTAATTTACCTTACTGTTGTATATCAACCTGTTCAGCCTGTGATTGTGTCTGATGTTTGGGATGATGTTCATGTTGATGTTCATGATGGCAATGGAGATGATGAACCGGTTCCTGGGCCAGGTTCTGTTGGATTTGGGGATGAGGAGTTACCTGGCCCTGATTTGTGCTCAGAAGAGAAGACTGAGCTGCTGCAAGAGCATTCTCAAGGTCACTTGCTTGGGAAAGGCCTTTCACTACTGTTCCCTGAGCAGCTGTCTGAGAATGAAGCTGATTTTGATTTACCAGGTGCAAGAGTTAAGACTGTGAACAGAAAGAGGAGTTTTGGTAAACAGGCAGTTCGGGC